GCATTGATGGCAGGTTTTGCATCGTGGATGACACATTTGTATTGTTCCTCTCCTATTAGAGGTCAAGTTCAATGCCTCTTATTCTTATCTTTTTTTTTTTTAAGTTCATTTATTCATTTATTTATTTTGAGAGTGACAGAGATAGCACGGGTAGGGGAAGGGCAGAGACAGAGGGCAAGAAAGAGAATCCCAAGCAGGCCCTGCACTGCCAGCGCAGAGCCCAGTGTGGGGTTCAAACCCAGAAAGCCGTGAGATCATGACCTGAGCCTAAACCAAAAGTCAGATGCTCAACTAACTGAGCCACGCAGGCACTCCGTCTTAAGCTCATCCTTTATCACAGGTGGGATTCTAGAAAGCATGAATGAACATCTTCTCCTGCATGCTTCAAAACAGCTGTGGCCCTTTGGGGTGCTGACTATTGGTCTCTTGACCCATCTTTTTAGGAGGAAGACATGAGACACTCCTCACTGGGGAGATGCTTTTGTGCTTAACCTTTTGCTTAGTTTCATTCGAGTTGGAGGCAGGAGACAGACCTTAGAAAAAGGTTCTTTTGGGAATTTATTTGCCAGGTTGCCCGAGACCTTTGTGAGGCCTCTGACCATGGAGGTCTGCTAATCAGACCTAAGACCTAAGCGATAATTGGCACCAAAGCAGTTCATTGAAAACTAAGCAATTCCTTGGCAGTGAGCTCTTTTCAAAGGCATAGAAGCCTTACCCTGTCCCCATGTAGGCACATATGTGCATGCATACATATGAACATGGCACCAAGCCACTCTCCTCTCTGGTCACCGCAGAGGCTATGCTGGCCTTCTTGCATTTCCTTCAATCTCACACACTTATTTTGCTACCTCAGGGTCTTTGCACATGCTGTTTCGTCTACCTGGAAGGCTCCTTTCCCATCTTCTGAAAGGGCCACTGCCCCCTAATCATTTGGGTCTGGCTCAAAAGTCACCTCTTCAGGGAGGCCTCTTCTTCTTCCTTTTATTTTTTTAATGTTTATTTATTTATTTTGATAGAGAGTGAGCAGGGGAAGGACAGAGAGAGGGGAGAGCGAATCCCAAGCAGGCTCCACCCTGTCAGCGCAGAGCCGATGTGGGGCTCAGCCTCCTGAACTGTGAGATCACAGCCTGAGCCAAAGGTCAGATGCCCAACCGACTGAGCCACCCAGGGGCCCCTGGAGAGGCCTGTCTGAAATATTTTACAATACTTATTATATCGTATTATAATATATTTATTGCATTAACATGTTTGAAGTTTCTCTTTCCCTAGAAAGGAGGCTTCAAACAAGGACCCCAGTTACTTCCTGCGCTGTGGCCCCCGTGCCTAGAATGATGTCAGCCTTGTGTCACAGCCCAGGAGGTGTTTATTGAATCCATGTTGGTATTAATTGAATACACCGTAATTGCATAATGTCATATGTGGATTCTAAAGACTTAATTAAGTTCACATTTATATGAAGAGAGACATTTATATCAGTCTTGAATTAGACGGGTCAAGATCACAGCTAGAGACAGTTTGTGTTTCTGTGGCTGTTTTTCTTCGTGCGTCTACGGCTAGGTATTGGTCACATTTTCTGGTTTTTATAATATAGATTATAAAGAAAATTTTATAATAGAGATTATAAAGAAAATGTAGATTTTATAATACAGATTTAAACTATAGATTTATAAAGGTGTGGTAACCCAGACACATGGACCCGTGGAACAGAGTCGAATCTAGAGACAGACCCGCACAAGTCTGGCCAGTTAATTTTTGAAAGAAGCGTGGAGGTCATTTAATGGAGAAAGGGCAGTCTTTCCAACAAATGGTGCTGGCAACAATTGGCTGTCTGTATGTGCAAAGCAAAAACTAAAAAAAACTAGACCTAAACTTCCTGCTTGATGTAGAGATTAGCCCCGAATGGATCACAGGTCTAAATGTAAAACCCTGACACTATCTGAAGAAAAACCTAGAAGGGCTCTGGGCTGGGCAGAATTCTTAGGACACCAGAAGTGTGCACTGTGAGATAAAAAGCTGATAAAATGGATTTCATATAAACTAAAAACTCTTGCTCTGCAAAAGATACCAGGAAGTGAATGAAATGACAAACTACAGACTGGGAAAACATATTTGTAAATCACATGTCCCACAAAGGACTTTATCCAGAAAACATAAAGGGCTCTCAGGACTCAACAACACCTTGGGGTGCCTGGGTGGCTCAGTCGCTTAAGCGCCGACTTGAGCTCATGTCATGATCTTATGGTTCGTGGGTTCGAGCCCCATTTTGGGCTCTGCTGACAGCTAGCTCAGAGCCTCCATGCTCATGCTGTTTCTCTCTCTCTCTCTCTCAGAAATAAATAAAAGACATCAAAAAAAAAAAAACCTCAACAATAACCCAATTAAAAACTGGGCATAAGGTGCACCTGGGTGGCTCAGTTGGTCATGATCTCACAGTAGATTGAGCCCCATGTCAGTCCCTGCACTGGGCGTGTAGCCTGCTCGAGAGTCTCTCTCCCTCTCTCTTTGCTCCTCCCCCACTTGCCCTTGTGTGCTCTCTCTAAAAAACAAACAATAAAAGGGCACAAGACTGAAAATAGACACTTCTCCAAGATTGTGTGGATGGCAAATAAGCACATGAAAAGATGCTCAACACCATCATTAGCTCTTAGGGAAACGCAAGTCAAAGCTGCGCTGAGACCGGGCGTACACTTTTCAGAATGTCTGCCCGTAAGAAGACCCTGGGCTGGCGAGGATGTGGAGCGCCTGGAACCCTCGCGCGTGGCCCGTGGGAGTGCAAATGGGCCACCACTCTGGGAAACAAATTGGCAGCTTCTTACAGAATTAAACCACAATCTCATCCCTGCTCCAGAGACCTGGAGTGCTACGTTTGCGTAAAAACCCATCCGTGAATGTTTGTGCCAGCTCCCTTCGTGATTGCTGAAAACTGGGAACAGCCCAGGTGCCCTTCAGTGGGTGAGTGGACAGGCTCCCTGCGATGAAGGGACAAACTTGCTGCTGCCCGCAGTGACTTGGCCGGGAGGGAGGGGGTCTACAAGGCATTGTGCTGAGTGAGGGGAGCTGGTCTTAAAAGGGTACACCTACGAGACCTAGAGTGTGGTGGTGGTGGGCGCCAGGGGGCTGGGGAAGCGAGGGGACAGAGTGTTTAATGGGGACAGAGTTTCAGTTTTACAGGATGGGAAGAGCTGTGGGGACGGATGGCGGGGCTGGCCGCACAGCACCGAATGTATTTGGTACCACCGAACGTAAGCTTAAAAACAGTTAAGACAGTGAATTTCGTTATGTGTGCTTCATCACAAAAAGAACAAAAGCTGTGTACTGCATAATTTCACTTACGGGGATTCTTGAGAAGACAACGAACGTATGGACTGAGGACAGGTTGGCGTGTCAGGGGGTTAGGGGAGGGTGCGGCTACCAAGGGGCAACACGCCACTACATTTCGGGATGATGGGGCTCTTCCCAGATCTTGTGGAATCACAAGGAACACGTGTCGGAACCCACAGACCGGCATGCCAAAAAAAGTCCATTTTACTATATGTTAATTTAAAAATAAAAATAAACTCGCACACCCTGCAAGCGTGTGCTCCAGGGTGCAAGGCACAGAACTAACCCGCTAGAATAAATGCAGCATGAAAGCAATTTAAAAAAGCCACAAAGGCACTCACTGTCAGTACGTAAATAGAAGATAAAATTTGCCACGAAAGCTAACCACAGGCCATTTACATATCTGATTGCAAAAGCCTGCTGAAGTGGTTTTCACATCCTTTTTTTGAAGACCTACTGCTATCCTGCGAACAATTGTGTGTGGTATATATGCCTGTTGAGTATTTGAGTACAGCGTTCGGTCCAAGGGGTACCCTCCTTGCAGTTGACCTTTGACGCTCCCAATCATTTCCTACCCGGGTGGACCTGGGAAGGCTCTTGTGAACCGGGCACAGCTCTCAGATAGGGGCCGGGTGTGGGGAGGGTTTCAGTGAGAAGCAATGGCTCACCCCTGGGCCTTGCGTCAGAGCTGTTCCTGGGGCTTCAGAGTGGACTCCTAGGAGATTTAGGAAATTCAGAATCCGTCCTTGGGCTGGGCCTGGACAGCTCCGCGTAAGTGGGTGTGCATGTGTGTAAGGTTTAAAGCTGGACAGCCTGCTTTGAGATCCAGGGGGTAGAACGGCAGGCAGACGCGGGCAGGCAGGAGTGAGGGCGTCAGGTGGAGGAGGGGTGCACGAGAGGGGCTGTCAGCCGAGCTGGGGCAGTGGCAGCGGGAGAGGGTCTTCCTGAAGGAAGACTTCCTGGAGGTGGTGACTTCTGAGCCAGTGTCCTGAAGGATGTGGAGAATTGCTGGACAAGGGTGAGGAGTGTGTTCCTGCAGAGGGAAACAGTGGGGAGCTGCAGGCGCTTATACTCGTGGAGAGGGATGTGGCACGGAGCCGATGGGAGAGGGCGCCAGAGCAGGGGCCATGGGGAGAGGTGCCAGGGGCATGGCGCGTGACTGAAGCCGGCTCGTAAAGGCAGTTTCGCAAGTGCTGTCGGGCCTCCTGAATCAGTCACCTGGGAGGAGTGGCCAGCAATGCAGGTATCCTAGGTACCCCCAGGACCAGACATTCTGGTGGTTGGGCCTGGAAATCTCCAGTTTTAACCATTGCCCGGGCGGTTGGAGTCAGAGCCGCGGTGGGGAGCCACCAAAGATCTCTCCACCAAGAGATTGCTTCTTTTGTGTGTCTCACTCGTGTTCCGTAACACAGCTCATGCTTGGAAACCACTGCTGAGCCTTGAGTTTGGGGACGCTAGTCTTTTCCAGGTTTCCTGGGGAACGGCACTGTGAACTACCCATAAACACATGCCAACCCTGATGCAGGGGTTTGTCCGTACAAGCACTGCTTTCTAGAGGGAGGTGGCACCCTCCATGTGGGGCTCCAGGGCTGCTGCGTTTTTGTTGGGGAAGAGAGATGGCGAGGTGGGGTCCGTCCTCGCAGAGGAGGTGACACTTTCTGGTTTCCTGCTGTCCCCAGGAGCAGCAGCCCAGCTGGACAGACGACCTGCCGCTCTGCCACCTCTCTGGGGTCGGGTCAGCCTCCAACCGCAGCTACTCTGCTGATGGCAAGAGCACCGAGAGCCACCCGCCAGAGGACAGCTGGCTCAAGTTCAGGTGAGCGTCGCTGGCAGTGCCTTCCTGGGCATCGGGGGCAGGTGGGCCGGCGAGGAGAAGCACCAGGTTTGCGCCTGTCTCAGTGGGGCTTGCCAGTGAGCTGTGGCCCAGGGCGTGGCATCTCTGCTGTCCCTTGCACTTCTGGACCTCAGACCAACCGAGGGTCTGCTGTGGTGGGGTCGGGCGTGTCCCGGAAGGCCATGCCAAGGTGGAATGATGGTCAGAGCAGGGGAACTCAGGTGGCGTCTCCCCCAGCCCTCTCCCTCCTCCCCTCCACTCAAGAGCTGGCTTCATCCTTCAGAGCCCCCAGTCTCAAGCCGCCCTCCCTTCTCTGCCAGGAGTGAGAACAACTGCTTCCTGTACGGGGTCTTCAACGGCTATGACGGCAACCGGGTGACCAGCTTCGTGGCCCAGCGGCTGTCTGCAGAGCTCCTGCTGGGCCAGCTCAGCGCGGAGCACACCGAGGCGGACGTGCGGCGTGTGCTGCTGCAGGTACTGGCGGTCAGGCTGGCCGTGACCCCGAGGAGCTCAGCCCTGCAGCCGCAAAGCGTGGGGTTAGCCCGGGTTGGTCTGAAGGTGCTGCCGGCACCTTCCCTCCTGCAGAGCAGCTGCGGGAGCCCCTCCCAGCAGCAGGGTGTGAGGAGAGGGGTGGCCACGGGGCCTAGAATTTAAAGTGGTAAGTGCCCTGGTGACGAGCTAGTCCCCTTAGGAGCCGTTTACCGCCCCGTAACATAAGGAACAAGGATCCTAAAAGTCCACTGCGGCCCCCAGTAACGCCAGAGACCTGTGGCCGAGGTGAAAGGTCACTGGGTGCCGTTTTGGGGAGCCCAGTGCTGTGTTACATGGGCAGGAAAATGAGATCCTTGATGTGAGGATCGGAGTCTGTGGCATCGGGAGGCCTGAACAGGAGCAGGTTGTCCTCAAAGAGAAAGACCAGAAAGACCCCTGCCTGTAGAGCTGCTGTGGGCGGGTGCAGCAGGCGGTAAACCCGTGAGAGTATCATGCACGTGATAGCGAAGTGGGTAGTGCCAACGAGTGAGGGGGCGGCCCTAGGACTTCAACCTGCCGGCAGCTAAGAGGATCGTCCCCTCCCCGGACCAGAGAATGGCGGCTTCCAGCAGCGTTTGGTTTGGGAACATAATTTGCAGCTCAAAACAGTGCATTTTGCAAGAGGCACCCCTGGGGGCAGGACGGCCCTGCACCCAGTGCACCTGGGCTATTGTGGGGGCAGCTGCCCTGTGACCCAAAGAGATGGGAGACCTTTGGGGGTCCTCAGGCCAAGGAATAAAGAGCAAAGAAGTGGTAACCAAGAGAGGCCGGCATAGTGGAGAGCTGAGGATGGATGGGGGGGGGCTGGTTCACAGCCCCAAGTGTGTGATGACCGGGGTTCAGGCACGGGAAAACACCTTGAGGTACTGTCCGGGTGTGCCGAAGTGGGGGCAGCTTTAGTTGCCCTGGTACCCCGGCACCCTCCAGATGGAGCACCCCTAATGAAGTGTGAAAATCACCCCACTGCCCTCTGCCTGACCGAACCGCGAGCCTGTTAGCAGCTGCCCACGAGTCAGCAGAGGTACAGACAAGGGCCCTATTGCGGGTAGCAGTGCTCCTCACAGCCAACCGTACTGCCGCAAGCCCAGCAAGCCAAGCCGACCTCGCCTCACCACGTATGGTGGCGGCGCTGCGGTCCACGCACCGAGGCTCCCCCTCACTCATTAGCTCTTAGCGGCGGCTGGCCCAGCTTGCTGGGGACTCGGGGGCCTCTGTCACCCGTTCCCCACGGGGCAGGGGCCCGAGGAGCTCGGCAGCTGCGTCCTTCTGCCATCTGGGAAGACGTGCCTTGTCAGACTGAGCCCATGCCAAAGGCGCCCCGTGTCCGCTCTAGCTGAGCCGAGCCACCGCCAGGAGCCAGCCCTTCCCTGTGACCTAATCAGGAGTGTGAGGATGGCCACTCCAGTCCGCGAGGGCCTCTGTTTCTAACAAAGCCCAGGAAGGAGCCAGAATAAGACGTTCTGGGGGATGAAGCAGGCAGCCGTGCAGTGCAGCCTTCTGATCCAGAAGCCTGTGGGCAGCCAGGGGCAGCCACGCTTAGGCCATGCTCTGTGGGACGCACAGTCCACGGTGGCCAGTGCCTCCACCCGGCAGCAGGAGACCGGGGCAGCGAGGGGAGGGCTTGAGGAGGTGACTGTGCCCGCTACCGAGCTTGCTCCTCCCCTCCTCCGTGCTGAGGCGTGGGGGCTGGTGTGTGACTGCAGATGGGGTGGTGGCAAGTGTGGTGCGCCCCTGGGCTGTGACCATCCCGGAGCCACGGCAGACTTAGTGTTTAACCTCAAGTGGAATTTCCCAGCCTTTAGAGGACCACTTACGGCCCAGAAATTCACCACTTGCAGCCAGCCCTTGAATTTTCTGTGGGGCAGTAGCCTGCCTCTGTGCTGCAGGTGGGTCACCTCCAGGGGATGTGGAACGCCTCCTGTGTCCTGCCTGTTACACCTTGTAATTTAATGGTTGTTTTTGTTTTTTATTTATTTCTGAGAGAGAGAGAGAGAGAGCATGAGCAGGGGAGGGTCAGAGAGAGAGGGAGATACAGAATCTGAAATAGGCTCCAGGCTCTGAGCTGGCTGTCAGCACAGAGCCCAAGTGGGGCTCAAACCCACGAACCGTGAGATCATGACCTGAGTGGAAGTCGGCTGCTTAACCGACTGAGCCCCCCAGGCGCCCCATGCCTTGTAAAGGGTGCCCCACACTGATGTTTGGCAGGGTTCCCAGGAGGCGTCCATGAGAGCAGTAAAAGTTCTCTTGTATGTGTCCCAATGGGTAATTAGACAAGTATGCAGGTAATCGTCCCCTGGAGGAGGAACAGACTCCGGGGGACCACTGGGTCTCTGGGACTGGGGCCTCAGCAACGCCTCGCTCAGAAGTCGGAAGCAGGGTTCCGCACCAGATCCTGCTGCTGGGGCGGGGCTGAGCCAAGGGGTGACAGTGCCTGCAGCGCCTGAGCAGCGGCCTCTGACTTGGGTCCCGGCTGTCCTAAGAGTAAGTCGTTAGGGTCCCTAATCTCCAGAGCTGCCAGTACAGAGAGGCCTGTGGGTCATCTCACAAGGCAGGGAGCTGCAGTGCAGGCCACCCCTCAGTGGGGACCCAGAAGGGGCCCAGAGGTCCCTGTATCCCCTAGGGCCCCTCCGTTGGGTTCCTGGCTGTAGGGCGAGTAGGGCCTGCTCACTAGCAAACAGGATTTGGGCTTCAGAAAAGTTCTCTTTTTCATGTCTAGCTATGACAATGGTACCATCTAAAGCCTGCTGTCCTGTATCTGACATTTCTATGAACTGTAACGCCATGGCCTTATATTTGGGGGGGGGGGGGACTTACCCTTTAGGAGGGACTCTTGAGATTCTGGCCCCTGAGTACCTCCTCTGGGTTGGACATGGTCAGGGAGTACGGAAGGGTTACACTTAGCAAGATGACCTACCCACTGAGCCATCCCAGTTCCTGGCTGAGAGGAGGGGTCTTAGGGCTTGTGGGCTTGCATTGGGCCTGAGCCCTGCTGTCCACGGAGGGGGGGCCCCAGTGCCAGGCCGTGAAAACCAGAGTCAGGACAGGCAGACCTCACTTCTCATCTCCTGGGCTCTGGGAACTTAGGGGTGGGGGTGTCTCTTCCCCAGAGCCCGCCCCCTTTTTTATTTGGTCTGTGTCCTGCCCTTGTGGCTTGACACATTTGGCTCCCTTGCTGTGATGACACGTCCAGGGGTCCTCTAGGGTGTCTCTAATAAAATGGGCCCTCAATACCTTGGGTGGTTTTTTTGTTTTGTTTTGTTTTTAATAAAGTACGAACTTTAGAGCCTTTGGCCACGCAGCAAACGGGCGCATCTCAGCCGCTGCAAACAGGTGGGAGCTATTCCAAGGTCCCGGAAGAGCCAGTCAGCGCCATTCTCCTCCCCGCTTAGGGCAAATTTTTCTAGAAAACCTTGCACTGCTGGCATGGTATAGTCCCCTGTCTCCATCTCTGGTTCACACTGGTCGTTATTGGACATTTGGTACGGCGGATGGTAGCAGGGAACACGTGGGCCGCTGGCCGCCTCCTGCTCTGAGGGTCCCAGTGTATCTCTGGGGAGTTAGATCCCTGACCAGTGCAGGGCTCCCCAGTGCATTTGAGAAAGCCGCCCAGCCCGGAGAATGTAGCAGTGGCAGTTTGGCGCCATGGGCCACTGTGCCCGGCGAGGCCCAAGCCATGTAAGCAGGGGGCTTGCGAGAGTCTAGTAGATTTTCAGCCTCCGCTGGGGACCTGGGAGGAGTTGGTACCATGTGCTTGGGGGCCCCGCTGTTAGTGAGGACTCGTTGCTGTACCGCGCCAGGGGTGGGACTCCGGTATCCCGTGGAGTTGGGGGGACGATCTGCGGCAGCAGCGGGGAGCACGGCAACACCGGAGGTGCCGTCACGGGTTAGAGTAGCCTGCCCAAGCTCAACCACCCTGCCCCCGGCTCCCCACACAGCGGCCCCGCGCTGCACAGCAGCCCCGCCCCCCTACGGTGGCCCTGGCGCGCCCCCCCCCCCCACTACTGCACAGCAGCCCCAGCGGCCAGCGCTCCTCCAGCGCTATCCTGAGGCTTCCAGGGCCTTACAGCCTGTGCCTCTGGTGGGAAAGCAGCAGAGCCCTTCCGTCCTACTTAGCTCACTGTGGCTCAACTTTCACATGTGATTACAACCAGTCACCTTCAGACTGGACACCTAGTGGGGTCTTGTTGAGAGACTAACGGGAAACCCAGCTGCCTCAGACTGGGGCCTGCTGGTCGGCCCCTGCAGGGAGTCTGATCTTTCACAGCACTAACAACGGCGGGTGGGGATTTCTGGCAACACCTGTTGGCAGGGCCAGGCAGCGCCGCAGACGCCAGGAGGCAGCCGTCCCTTCCCAGCGAGCCCGGCCTGCCTGGGAGAGGAAGCTAGTGAGCCGTTCACAGCTCCGAGGCATCGCATAGGAGTACAGACCGCAGGGCACCCGGGAGGCTCAGTCGGGTGAGCGGCCCACTCTTGATTGTAGCTCAGGCCACCATTCCAGGGTTGTGGGATTGAGCCCAGCACCGGGCTCTGTGCTGAGCATAGAGCCTGCTTAAGATTCTCTCCCTTTCTCTCTCTCTCTCTCATTAAAAAAGAGAGATGGGGCACCTGGGTGGCTTAGTCGGTTGAGCGTCCGACTTTCGCTTAGGTCATGATCTCGCGGTAGTGGGTTCGAGCCCCGTGTTGGGCTCTGTGCTGACTGCCAGCTCACAGCCTGGAGCCTGTTTCAGCCTGTGACTCCCTCTCTCTCTGACCCTCCCCTGCTCACGCTGTCTCTCTCTCTCTCTCTCCTAGAAATAAATAAAAAAATATTAAAAAAAAAAAGAGAGAGAGATCCTATCCTTATCACCAATTGTGTTGAGAAGCCAGAGCTGGGATATTGAATTGAGATTACATAGATTACGACCTGATGACACGGGGTCAGCAGGTAGCTCCCTTAGCATCCACGCACACGTCCCCTCCGGGGACATGACACCCATGGGGCTATTTTGATCGAAGGCAGTCTCAGTACTGCCCCAGAAAGGAAGTAGCATCACAGACTTATTATTACTTACAGATCCCAGAAGCAAAGGGGGCGCCGCTGAACTGGGGGCGGGGAGGACAGTCCTCCCTCCCGAGTCCAAAGCCAGCAGGAGATAAAGAGCATGGTAGCAAGCACCTATTACTTTCAAGGTGCTTGGGGCCGAGGTCACTACTTGTCGCCTTCATTTTCAGTGATTTTATTTTATTTTATTTTATTTTTATATTTTTATTTATTTCTAGGAGAGAGAGAGACAGCGTGAGCAGGGGAGGGTCAGAGAGAGAGGGAGTCACAGAATGAAATAGGCTCTAGGCTCTGAGCTGGCAGTCAGCACAGAGCCCGACACGGGGCTCGAACCCACGAACCGCGAGATCATGACCTAAGCGAAAGTCGGACGCTCAACCGACTAAGCCACCCAGGCGCCCCCATTTTCAGTGATTTTAAAAGGTGCTGCCAGGAACAGCGAAGCCTGAACTTATTGGGGGGGGGGGCCTCATCCTAAGCTCAGGCCCTCATCTTGGTGTCCAGACTCTGGTTACGAGCAGGGTTATCACACGTTCAGACGCCTAGGCAGCTACTCAGAAAGACAAAGGGCGCCCCACTTCCCCAGAGCACAAGACCAGGCAGCCCGTGGGCTGTAGCCCTTCCCCGTGACCTGCAGGGTGGGCTGTGGAGGAGCCGCTCCTGGGGGAGGGGCGTTAGGGACGCAGCCTCACACGGAGGGGTGCAGTGGAACGGGGCTGAGCTCTGGTGGAAACCAGGTAACCGAGGACGACCCCGTTCCCCCAGGTGGGGCGTGGGGGCGCGGGCTCGGGTGGCTGCCCGCACTGCTGGGCCTGCTCCTCCCATGGGGTTCGTGGGGCTCACAGGCCGGCCCGGCTCCCTGTGAGCTCGTCTTCTGGCCCCTCTTGGAGGAAGCGCGTCCAGAAGCACTTACGCGAAGAAGAGAAGGGAGTCCTATTCCTTGAAAACCAGTGTTCCCGGCCCTTTCCCTGCATCAGCGCCTCCGCGGCCTCAGGGCCCCGCGCCAGGGACCATCAGCTGCGCCTGCCCCTCAGGAGCGGCAGTGTGCCCGGCGTCGAGGGACCAGCAGGTTGTGGGAGCGATGCCACAAGATGGCAGTGACCTAGGCCTACCCTGAGCCGGGTGCTGGGGGCCCAGGGTGGAGTATCTCCGTCACCTTCGTGATAGCACTGGCCTCCCGCGTGGACGAGGAGGTGGAGACTGCCGGGTGGGCGGCGGGTGGCGGCGGTGGGGTTCATCCCTGGTGACCTGGTGCCACGCCTCGCTCGTAACATCCTTGCCGCCTCCTGCCTCCCTGGGCTCTGTGGTGCCACCTTGGAAGGCACCAACCCCATGGGGCTGACGTCTCTGTCAGCCGTTGCTCTAGAGGAGCCACAGCCGTGCAGCGGCCCAGGTGAAGCCCTCATCACGCACTGCCTGTAGGTAATACAGAATTTGTCACTATTAACAGGAGGCACTTGGGTGTCTGGTGACAGGCTGTTTTGAACTGGCCTTTGCCCTGACACCCCTCCCTGTCCTTTGCCTCCAGGCCTTCGATGTGGTGGAGAGGAGCTTCCTGGAGTCCATCGATGACACATTGGCTGAGAAGGCGAGCCTCCAGTCCCAGCTGCCGGAGGTAATGCCCCAGCCTGCCCCCCTGGCAAGCCTGTCGAGGCCTGGCCTTCCTGGGAGCAGGGACCTACCTTCCAGGTCACTCTCAGGCCACTGACACCACTGGGCCAGAGCCTCAGAGGACTTAGGGGACTGGGTGATGGACGGATTCTTGCCTGAGGGACTGGGTGGCCATGCAGTTTGCAGGTGCCCTTCCGAGAGCCCTCCCTGGCCCGTGCAGGCAGCGCCACTCTGGCCCAGCATGGGGCGGGCCATGAAGGATACGAGGCAGGACCCTTCCAGTTCATTCCCGACCGGAATGTGCCCATAGCCTTGTCAGCCACCCGCTCACATCAGCCATCAGCACTTTCAGAACCGACAGCACAAGTTAGGTCACGTCTGGCTTTCCTGCACAGAGCCCGCCCTGGGGCTACGGCGCGGCTCAGTCCTGGCCAGGCCCTCAGACCCTTGCCTTTGAAGGGAGGGGACGGCTGGTGAGCTGGTCTCTGAGGACCCGGCCTGCTGACCCCCTGCTGACGGCCCATAGGGTGTCCCTCAGCACCAGCTGCTTCCTCAGTACCAGAAGATCCTCGAAAGACTCAAGGTGCTGGAGCGGGAGATTTCGGGAGGAGCCATGGCCGTCGTGGCGGTCCTTCTCAACAACAAGCTCTACGTCGCCAATGTCGGTGAGCCACCTGCCGTCCCAGGGCGGGGAGTGCCGGGCAAGAGGTGGCCTCGGGGTCTGCGTGCTGTCAGCTTCCCAGACACGCAGACCCCCCCCAGCCCGCGTCTCCTGAGGCGATTGGAGGTGGTTCCCTGTGGCTCCGCGGGCTGGGCCCGGGGAGCTGGAGATACCAGCTGGGGAGGCAGGCGTCCGGGCCTCAGTCCCTGCTCTGCCCCACAGGCTGTGGGCGAGGTGCGCCCCCTCTCCAGGTCACCTCGGGCTTTCTCTTCAGGAAGCCCCACTCGGCCTCCCACAGAGGGTGGCGAGATGGGCTGGGTGAGGGGCCGCAGGGACACTGGACTGGTGGGCAAAGAAGAGGCCATCTGGGACTGAGACCCCAGGGTGCACAGTACTGTCAGAGCGGCGTAGGGGCGCCCCTGATGCTGTCCCTCTCGTCTTTCTCCTTTTCTTAAGATTTCATGTGGACAGAATTAAAAAATGTGAAAAGATGAGCATGAGGCAAACCCCCCAGCCCCCAGCGCCAGCAGTCACCCCCTCGGGGCCTGTCTCATTTCCTCTGCAGCTCTTTTTCCCCACAAACCCCAGACGTCATGTCGCGTTATCTCTTTGTAAATATTTCAGTATGTCTCCCTCGAGAAAAGGTCTCTCACTAAAATCCTAATCACCCTAGGATGACACTGGAAAAGTTTAACCTAATTCCTTAATCGTCAGCACGTCCTGACTGGTGACTCACCCAGTGGTCTGAGCCTATTTTCTGTGCTCGTTTCAAGGATTTCCTTGTGTGAGACGCCTGACTTCTCTCTCTCTCTCTCTGTCTCTCTCTCTCTCTCTGTCCTGTCCCTCCCTGCACCCAGACCTGGCTCAGCTGCTCAAATTCTGCCGCAGGTACGAACCGTGCCCTCTTATGCAAATCCACGGTGGATGGGCTGCAGGTGACCCAGCTGAACGTGGACCACACCACGGAGAACGAAGACGAGCTCTTCCGCCTCTCTCAGCTGGGTGAGCGAGGGTAGGGCTGGACCCCCGCCCCCGCTGTGGTCCCTCCTGCATCCTCTTCCAGCGGCCGTGTAGAGAGAGGCCTGAAGGGCTTGGGCTGTGACCTTGGGGGTGGATGCCAGCTCTGCCCATTACTCGCTGATGATTTTCAGAATTCCCGAAGTGTTCTGTGCCTCAGTTTCCCTATCTGTGTAATGAGGATCATAGTAACACCTCCCACAGAGGGTGGCGAGATGGGCTGGGTGAAGGGCGTTGTGAGGATCGAGAGTCCATATGTGTAAAAGGTTTGCAGGAGCAGTGAGCGCGCAATAGGTATTATGGTTGGTGGAGACTAAAAGACCAGAGAGGCCCCAGGATTGCAGCCACCTCGGCATAGCTGCCCCCCACTTCCCAGGGAGCTTTGCGGCCCAGGCCTCTGAGTGAGGGGGCTGGGCTCTGAGGACCCCGAGGCGCTTCCGGGCAGCCGCTCTCCAGGGTGTCCTGGTGTGACTTCATTTTCTGTTCACCGAGCCCTCGTTGCCTCGTTTTTGTGGCTGTGTCTGGATCCCTTCTTTCAGTTCTTCCTGATGGACAAGATCTGAGTTCCTGTTGTCCTCCCTCTGGCAGGTCTGGATGCAGGAAAGATCAAGCAAGTGGGGGTCATCTGCGGGCAGGAGAGCACCAGGCGCATCGGGGATTACAAGGTCAAGTATGGCTACACTGACGTCGACCTACTGAGGTAGGTGGCCTGGCCAGCTGCCCCGTTGGCTTGTAAGACCAGAGGGCCTGGGCAGAAGCAGATGGTAGGCTCTAGGGACGAAGGGTGCTATTGAGGTAGTTCAGAGCCCAAGCCGACTTTTCTTCCTCCCAGAGATGTCGGTGTGTGTGGCCCTAGACCCAACGAACCAGGAGTTGGGGTTGTGTTGAGCTGGGCTGACAAGGGGTCACGTTGGGGAGCTGCATCAAAGCAAAGGGTTGCAACCAACCAGGGGCATAGGGCCTGACACGAGAGGCCAGCATCGGCACAGGCTGCCTGGTGTGGTTAGGGACGGACCAGGGGCTTGCCGGTCAGTGCTGTCCGTAGCTGGGGCCGGGGCAGAGATGCGAGACACATTGGACACAGCCCTCGGAGGACACTGCCCCTGTGGGTACCACTCAGTGCTCGTGGCAGCAGATGGGCCATGCTGACGATTGTCGGTCATTATCGTACCAGGCCTGTGCCCGGGTCTCTGTGTGCGTTCTTCTCCAGTCCTGATTCGGGCCTTTTGTTGTCCCAAAGCCGTGTTCTTGTGAGGGAATGGTAGCCTGCCTGGCCCCAGGGCTAGCAGGTGGCGGGGGCAGGACTTGAGCCCTGGCATCTGGAATCCGGAGCAGCATCCGTAACGTTGGCTGGAAAAATATGCGTGCGTGCGTGCGTGCATGCGTGTGTGTTGCCCATGACAGTATTTAATGTCACAAGCAGAGCGTGTGTGTGTGTGTGTGTGCGCGCGTGCGTGTGTGTGTGTGTGTGTTGCCCATGACAGTATTTAATGTCACAAGCAGAGCCATAGGGGAATCCTAGCAAATAGCCCAGCATCAGAGCCAGGCTCATCATGGCCCAGAAGGCAGGAGTTACTTACTCTCACAAGATTTAGGCAATTGAGTTTGGAAGCTTTTGTCTCTAATTTGCGGGGTTGTATCTGCGTAACTGGAGGGTAGCACATGTGGTGTAAAACAATCCACATGGCGCCAAGGACGTACAGTAAGAAGTAAGTGTTCCTCCCCCTGCAAGCCTGGCCTCCTTCCCCAGAAGCTGCCGGCTTCTTGTGTACCCTGTCCACGTGCACGTGTGCGTGTGTATGTGTGTGTGAGTTTGTGTGGAAGGGGCAAGCGTCCTTTTTTAAAAAAAATTTTTTTTAATGTTTTTATTTCTGAGAGAGAGAGGTAGCGTGAGCAGGGGAGAGTCAGAGAGAGAGGGAGACACAGAATCTGAAGCAGGCTCCAGGCTCTGAGCTGTCAGCAGAGAGCCCGACGCGGGGCCCGAACCCACCAACAGGGGGATCATGACCTGGGCCGAAGGCGGACGCTCAACTGAGCCACCCAGCCGCCCCGCAGGCATCCTTTTTAAGGCGCCCACAAGTGCTGGCATCTGCTCTCCAGAGCGCTGCTCTGACCCTGACAGCGGAGCGTGGCTGCATTAGTGCTCACCTCACCTCACTTCACCTGGGCTCCCAGGACATTTCCAGACTTGGCTCTTGTGAATGCTGTCGCCAGGAACCTCTTCTGCTTGGCTCCGTGCACACGCACACTTTGGAGCTTTGTGACACTGCCTGGCTCCAGGGCCCTTCTGAGCACAGCTCTCCCCCAACTCTTCCTGCAGCGCTGCCAAGTCCAAGCCTATCATCGCGGAGCCTGAGATCCACGGCGCACAGCCCCTGGAGGGGGTGACCGGCTTCCTGGTGCTGATGTCCGAGGGGCTGTACAAGGCCCTGGAGGCGGCCCACGGGCCTGGGCAGGCCAACCAGGTGAGCCAGATGTGGGCGGGGCCTGTGGAGGGGGGTGCTCCCTGGGGGGCCCAGCCAGCCCTCCTGCCTGGCTCCAGAGTGCTTAAGGACCCAGAGCTCCGAGAACACCCATCCCACCCAAAGCTGTGCTTGTTCTGGGCTTGCAGCAGGGTCAGTCCCCATGGCCCTGAGCGAGGCCGGAAGAGAAGAGGGAGAGAAGGAAATGAATGTACGTGAGCACGTTGTTCTTCATTCTGTCTAGGAGGGGCCCTGGCTGAGGACAAGGGCCCAGAGGGGTGTGGCCTGAGCCTTAGCCTCCCTGGGCCACCTCCTTCCCTGCCTGCCCTCTGCACTCTGCCCAGATTACAGTTTGCTTCTCATCTCTGAGATGTGGTTGGAACATCTACCTCTTTGGGACTGTGTTGCGGGCCCGGCGTGATAGGTGAGGTCCCCAGCCAGTGGCAGCTGCTTATTTTTCCTGAGCTTGGTATCAGACAGTTGTCACTGACGCATGGCTTTGTGACAGTCACGTCAAGGATGGTTTTGAAGGGAAGCTGCCTTTACCAGACCTTGGATCATACATTCAGGTTGTGTTTCTCCTTCCATTTGTAATTCCTGTAGGAAGGTAACTTTTTCTACTTTGTCCTAAGTGAAAATCATGACAAAAACACATGCGTGTCTCCTGATAACCTGTGTTCTAGATTGTTCACCTGTTTTATCCTAGCCTTCCTGCAGTTGCCCTGTGACACAGGAGGCAGGGGCTCACTGGCACGTTAAGGTAAAGAACTTGGGGCTCACCGAGTTCAGGGTCTGGCCTGAGGTGACAGCTGGTCAGCAGCAGAGCTGAGCCCACGCTGGATGGGGTTCAGATCATGTCCTGTGACCTGTCCCAGCCCCCCTTCTTCTAAGAGCCTCTGGCCAGCCATCACATAGAGGAGTTTGTGTTCGTGATTTTGTCAGTGTGATTTTTTTTTTTTTTTTTTTTTTTTTTTTTTTTTTTTTTTTTTTTTTTTTTTTTTTTTTTTTTTTTTTTTTTTTTTTTTTTTTTTTTTTTTTTTTTTTTTTTTGGTCTTTGCCATAGAATTTATCTAGTGGCTTTTGCTGGGTTCTAGAAAATACTGGATAGTAGATTTCTCTGATGACAGGGTCCACCTTCACTCTGCATTCCACACTTTCTAATAAAAATGGCCTGTTGTAGGCCACAGTAAGTTTGTTCCAGGAAAGGAGGCTTAGGAATAACGACGGTTCGTACTGGGCCTTTTTAGTGGTTTCCAGAAGATTCTCCCATCCATTGTGTTTTTAAATCCTCCTGATAACCTAGTGAGATGGACGTTATCCCCCATTTCATTAGTGTGGAGGCCAACACTCAGCTGACAAGGTCACACCTCTACTAGTGAGAAAGTTCCAGAAGAATTATCCTGAATACCTTGAAAGGCTTGGATTACAGACTTGACTGGTGGGGACTTCCTTCACCTGCTTGGCTGATGCCCCATAAGCATCCTGATTGGGCTCTGGAGTGTGGCCCACAGTCCTGGGCCCCCCCGCCGACCCTGTTCCTCACCAGGTTCACACCCCCTCCTCCAGGAGATCGCCGCCATGATCGACACCGAGTTCGCCAAGCAGACCTCCCTGGATGCGGTGGCCCAGGCCGTGGTGGACCGGGTGAAGCGCATCCACAGCGACACCTTCGCCAGCGGCGGTGAGCGGGCCAAGTTCTGCCCCAGGCACGAGGACATGACCTTGCTGGTGAGGAACTTCGGCTACCCGCTGGGCGAGATGAGCCAGCCCGCGGCGTCCCCGGCCCCAGGTATGCGTGTGGCATGGACGGGAGGCCTGGGAGGAAGCCGGGAGGGCGGTGGGGGCCTTGCTGCCGCGTGCGGACGTGGAGCCCGAGGCCTGGCCTGGTTCTGGTCCCCCCTCCCAATACCTCAAAGACCCGAGTGTGTGGACAGTGCTTTGTCAAGCCTCGAGGCCACGTAAGAGGTGCTGGCTGCCACCACTCGGTGCCTGCTGTGTGCCTGTAGTTCCTTCAGTCCTTACAACCCTACAGACAGAAGGCACCCCTTCCACTGAGGAACTGAGGTTCTGGAAGGAAGAGACAGAGGCAAGGTCAGGCCTGTGGTCAGAGGGACCCCAAAGCTGGGCTCTGACCCTGGGCCGTGTCTTGCGTGAGGCGAGACGCTTGGTTTTCCGCCCTCGTAATTCTGCAGGCGGCTCGCTGGGGCTGAGGGCTGGTGGTGGGTCTTTGTTCCCTCCCAGTGCTGCTGGGCGTCAAGACCCTCGGCTCCGAGCGGCTGCGTTTCCTCTTCTTTTTTCAAACAAGCCGCCAGCCTTAGCGCGCAGGCCACATGCGTGGATTTGTTCTCCCACGGATGCCGGGGTCGCTGGAGTGTCACTGACTTGTCCTTGCATGCATATTTTCGTTGGGCCGACCTCAGCTTATCCCTTGGCCGAAACCCGTCATGGGAGGCCAGGCCGCGACCCTTTCCTTGAGGCAGCTCAGCGCTCACTCTCCCAGCTTTGCGCCCTGGGGCGTCTCTGGACACCCCCTCCCCCGCCCGCCTGGAAGGGTGTGACGCCCCTTTGCTGTCCCCAAAGAGGGGCGCCAAGCCTCCTCCTTGGCACCTCACACACTGTCCCCATCAGGCCCTGCAGCAGCCCTGTTCCCACCACCCCAGAGACCCCCCCCCAGCTGCTGCCTGCAGCCCACCGCTCTCTCCCCGCCCCGCCCCAAGCTGCAGGAGGACGCGTGTACCCCGTGTCCGTGCCGTACTCCAGCGCCCAGAGCACCAGCAAGACCAGCGTCACCCTCTCCCTCGTCATGCCCTCCCAGGGCCAGCTGGTCAACGGGGCCCACAGCGCCTCCACCCTGGACGAGGCCACCCCCACCCTCACCAAGTAAGCCCTTCCCCCGCCCCAGCCGCCCTCAGGCCTGCCTCCCCGGAGGGCCCTCGGACCTGACCGTGAGCGGCCCTGAGTCCCGGGCCAGTGCCGTTGGGTGGGGTGCACGAGGGCCTCGTACCCCTCAAATTCCGCAGCTCCTTCCCTGGGCTTCCCCCAGGCGTGGAGGCCGGAGCAGGCCGCCCCGCGGGTTCCCGCAGCTCCCCTAAGGCGGGCCCCAGGAGGGGTGGCGGTTCCAGGGCAGAGCAGGGGCAGCGGGCTGGGAGGAGACGGGCCGCTGATGCGGACAGCCTGCCGGTTGTGGGTTCCTGCGGGCCCAACGGATACACTTTCACTGAACGGGAGGGTTCTCCTGCTTTTTTCTCTTCCCGTCTTCGCCCGTCTTGGAGCGTGTGAGGCAGGTCTGCTTCCGCGGTGGCGGCGTGCTTGGGGGACGTGGTCTGGCCTGTCCCAGCTTGCCGCTTGCCGGAGCCGGTGCTCTGACTAAAGTGTCTCATTTTAGCTCTAAAGTGAGTCATCTGGTTGAAAGCAAGGGGAGAGGTGGAGGCAGCAGGAGGCCCGGAGCCCAGGGGTGAGCCGGCTGGCCCCTCCTCACCGCAGACCTGCCCCACAGGCCTGGTGTCCCTCTGCCCCCTTCACCTCCGTGGAATGTCCACCCCCGTCCCCTCCTCACTAGGGGACCGGCTCTGGTTTCCACATTCCAGCCGGCCCAGGATAATAGGGATTATTATCACCACACCCAGCCCACTCGGAGAAGCCCTCTGCGGGGGAGTGGTACTGTGGGCCGCTGCCTCCCAGGGGGCCTTCCCTTCTCCCCGCCCAAATGCCCCTGCTGCCACCCCTGTGCGCCCAGGGGTCCTGCCTGCCGCAGGTACCCCGAGTGCAGTGGGGCGCCCCACCCCCACCCTGCAGGGCCGCCCAGAGGAAACCGTGAGCGGTGCCCACAGAGGCAGGGTGTGACAACAGCGGTCACAGCCCGCCGGAGAGCCAGCCGGCCTCCCGCGCCTCTGACTCCTCGGGCCCCTGCATCTGGCACTAGTCGGGGCCTGCTGTGGGCGGGCCGGTGCTGGGAGTGTTGGGGTGGGGAGAGGTTGGCGAAGCTAGGCGCCTGCCTGGCTGTTAGGTGTTCTGTGACGGGGGGTGCCCAGGGAGCTCTGACGACGGGGCCGGTCCCCACGCAGCCAGTGTGAGGGAGCGAAGGGGCAAGTGAGGAAGGTTTTGTGGGAGAAGAGCCCTTCCAGGCTGCATCAGTGGGATTCAGAGATGCTGGAATAACTACCTGTAGCCGAGCGTGGCTCTGAGGGCGGAAGTGTTCCGTGTCCCACACGGTAGCCACTAGGATGCGTGGTCATCAAGCCCTTGAACTGAGTGATTCATTTTATTACATTCTAGCCCACTTCAATAGCCGCCCACGGCCAGAGCTTGGAAAATACATGTTTTCATCTGCTCCTAGGGACGTCTGGTCGGTCTGGCTCTTGTGACCAGAGGGGCCGGCTGAGGGCAGGGGCCTCTTGGTCCCCAGGGTAGAAGCCAGGGTCCCTGACTGAGTCTCCCCCGTCCTGCCCACAGCCAGAGCCCGACCCTGACCCTGCAGTCCACCAGCACGCACACCCAGAGCAGCAGCTCGAGCTCAGACGGGGGCCTCTTCCGCTCCCGGCCTGCCCACTCGCTCCCGCCCGGCGAGGACGGCCGGGTCGAGCCCTACGTGGACTTTGCTGAGTTTTACCGCCTCTGGAGCGTGGACCACGGCGAGCAGAGCGTGATGACGGCACCGTAGCCCTGACTGGGGAGTGGGGCCCTGAGCAGGACCTTGCATGGGGACGAGGGGGTCCGGCTCTGGGGCGGGGTGGTCCCTTTCCTGCCACTCGCCTGTGCCGCGGGAGCCAATGAGTGCCCAGTCCTGAGCCCGCACTGGACTCTCGGCCCACAGTGCTTGGTGCTGCGGAGAACATTCTCTCAGGGAGCACCAGTGCAGACTTGTCACCGCACAGGGCCCGGAGGCCACTCCCTCGGGCAGGCTCAGCCAGGACCCTCACGGTCTCAGAAGCACGGCTCGGCGCAGGAGCCACGCTGGCCGGTGAGCCTGCCACTCGGGGGAAGTGCGGGAGTTCTCTGTGACCGTGCACGCCATGAGCCCAGCAGCCTCGGCTTTCTCAAGGCCACCACCTCCCCCTGGAAGAGCCGGTAACCACTGCGAATGTCCCCTCACCACTGGGCGGTAGTTCCCCCCTTCTCCAGCATCCAGCGCAGGGCCCTGGTTGGCATCCGTACCTTCCAAGTCTGCCTGCATCCCCAGGCCTGCCCGGGGGGTGGGGGGCAGTTCTCAGGGGCAAATGTTCACGGAGACATGGGAAGCGTCAGGAGCTTGGGGTGGCTGCACAGGGCAGGTCAAGTGGAAAGGAATGAAAGGGAACATTCTGGAGCCCCGGAGGGGCAGGCTGGGCAGGGCTTCAGGATGCACCCAGACCGAGGAGGACAGGGGCCGCTCTTGTCAGGCCCCTCCAGGCACAGGGAGGCCCTGAATCGGGGTGAGCTGGCCCTGCTCTGTCTTTCTCTTACCGGCGCTGAGGAAGACCCCAGGCTGGGGAGCCGCTAAAATTAGCCATCTTTACCACTGACCAGTCTCTAGCGGCTGTAAGGAAAAAACAGCTCGGGAGTCAGGCCTGAGGGCTCATTTGAAAGAACGGGGAAGCACGTCCAGAAGGGAAGAGGTTTGGATACCAGCTGCCGTGGGTGACCCAGGGCTTCAGAGCCACGCGCCGCTTTTACAGACACTAAGTGACAGGCCCAGGCCCTGCAACCACTTCACACGTATCCTCTGCTGTTGGTGGGCAGAGGCTGCTGCCAAGCTCCTGGGCCTGGAAGGCCACTCCCGCTGGCGGAAGAGGCAGGAGGCTCGCCACTCCCCGGCTCCCGCAGCCGGTGACCACTGAGACCTTTTCCCTGGACTCCTCCTGCCCTGGCACTCAGGGGGGTCAGGGGCCAGTGCCGAGGCCCTGCTCACTCTGCGGGGCAGGGGGGCGCTCCCCTGCGGGCCCGGTGTGCTGCGCTCGGGGGCAGGGGGCAGTTTCCGAGGGGGCCGTGCCCTAGAGGACCAGCGCCTCTCTGCGGGGACCCTGACCTAAGCCGTCTCTGTCCCGCAGGTGGGCAGGTTTAAAGTCTGTCACGAGGGCTTGTGAACAAAGGGCATTCTTTTCTTGTCAGGCTTCTCGGAATGGCTCTGTGATGCTGTTTGGTCTCTAGAAATAGAATCCCTCTTTTACCGAAATAAAGGAAGAAGTACCGGTGGTCTTACCCAAAGCGTGTTAACAGTGCTTTGGGGGTGCCTGGGTGGCTCAGTCGGTAGAGCATCTGACTCTTGATTTTGGCTCAGGTCACGATCCCAGGGTCGTGGGATCAAGCCCCGTGTCAGACTTCATGGTGAGCATGGAGCCTGCTTGAGGTTCTCACTCTCCCTCTGCCCCCTCCCCTGCTCCTGCTCGCTCTTTCTCTAAAAATAAAAATTAAAAACAAAAAAAGTGTGGTTACTCAGATCTCATGGGGACTCGCCGCAGCCTTGGGTGGTGGGGCCTCCCTGGTCCCGCTCAGCAGCCGGAGGCCCAGCTCGGCCAGCTGGGTGGTGGCAGAGCTGGGCCACCAGCCTCTAGCCCAAGGGGAGAGCACCCGGTTGTCCGGCATCCCTGCCTGTCCCCGCACATCCAAAGAGGGTGACAGTTCCCTCCTCTGGGCCATTCCTCCAGGCCCCGTGGGCAGCCCTCTTCCTGACGAGGAGTGATGTGGCCTGCGAGCTTCAGGTCAGCGGGACAGAGCCCTCCCCATCACCAGTTAGTGGATCTCCAGGGGGTTCCTTTGCTTTGTTTTGGTTTTGTTTGGGTGGAGGACTTTCCCTAAATACCAGCCTCTTCCTGCTTTATAGGAATTCAGAACGCCCTCCTCTAACAAGAGCGGCTTGGATGGTGGCATCTGAGCTCCCGGGGGCCCCCGCCCCTCCGCTAGGAAGGGGCTCCGGGCAGAGCTCCACCTGCAGAACCGCCTCTCGGGATCTGTCCCCCTCCTCAGCGTCTCCAGCTGTCCCTGGGGGGGCCCTTGGTACCCCTGACCCCTGTGTCCTTCTGGAGTCCGGTGTCAGCCAGCACCCTGACAGGCAGTTGGTGGGTGTACCTTTTCTGAGGGAGTGGCCAAGGCACAGACCAGCGGCCATGATCCCTGCCCCAGATGGCCCTGTCCAACCCCCGGGCCCCTGGGTCTCCCTAGCACCTGCTCTGTCCCAGGAGTGCCGGCCGGGCAGTGCCCTGCTGGCTTTGTGTCCCCTGTCCCCCGCCTTTGGGGTCATTCAGCGCCACTTGAGCCTGCCTCCTGGGCCGAAGGGGGCCCTGGTGCAGCCTCCTGGTTCCCTTTGGTGGATGCAGCCACGAAGCAGAGAGGGGTAGTCGAGGAATCCGTCTTAGGATTTCAGAAATGGCCGGGGTCGTTTCCAGGAGGAGAAGGCAGGCAGATGGCCAAGGCCCATGCTGAGCCGAGCCGGCAGGAGCCCCCCAACTCCAGCCTTGACCATCCTCCCACCACCTCCCTGGGAAGAGCACTCAGTTTCCCTGAGGCCTTAGGTCAAATAGAACCAGAGAAGGCCACCCTGTGTCCTCCTGTCCCTTGAAGACCTCTGGTCCCCTCGTGGGACAGAACTGAGGCTTGTTTGAGGCTCTGGCCTGGATGGGACCAGAAGAGCCAGGCCTTCGTGAGCTGCTCTTCATCCCGGGGCCCTGGGCAGGTGGGCGGGGAGTGGGGACATCGGCAGCACCGGGAGCTCCGTGGACCCTCTTGGACCATCTTCACTAGGATTTGTTCCCTTGTGTTTCCGGCCGTCATCTGGTCCCCACAGCTGAACTGCTCGGGCCGGTGCCATGATGCACCTGTTGGGGGGATGGGGGGATCCCCACGCTGCTGACGTTGGCACTGAGACCCATCAGGGGCCCCTCCAGCTGCCGGAACGCCCTAGGGATAAGCACCTGATTGAGCTCTTTACACGCCTGGCTTCTTCCTGTCGTTTAGGCCTCAGCTCAAATGCTACCTCCTGAGAGAGGCCTGCCCTGGTCGCACGCCAGCCACATCCTGCCACGTCTCCCTGCTTTATCACGTCGCAGAAACTCCGATGTTTCTTGCTTGTTCATCTGTGTTGTCTCTCTCGCCAGCAGGCCCACTCTGTGGGAGGGGGGCTTTGTCTGCCTTATTCCATGGGGTCCGAGCCCCAAGGTCAGTGCCAGCCACAGAGTAGCCCCTCGCATATATGTTAAATGAATGAGGGATGAGCCGTGTGACCTTGGACAAGTTGCTTGATCCTGCTGAGCCTCTGTTTCCTCATCTATAATATGAGGATCCAACCAACTTCTTTCTTCTTCTTTTTTTTTAATGTTTATTTTTGACACAGAAAGCATGAGCAGGGGATGGGCAGAGAGAGGAGACACAGAATCTGAAGCAGGCTCCAGGCTCTGAGCTGTCAGCACAGAGCCCAATGCGGGGCCTGAACCCACAAACTGTGAGATCATGACCTGAGCCGAGGCCGGACGCTTAGCCCACTGAGCCACCCAGCCGCCCCCCCCTTCCGCCCCCAACCGACTTCTTAATAAGATCACCTAAGGCTATGAGAAGAATAGCCCTGCCCTACAGATGTGGGAATGGACTGGGGTGCATTACAAGAGCATTAGCTGAGATTTCCGCCCCTTCCCCCCTCCCCCCACACAGACTATAAAGTCGTATAATGAGGACTCCACCTGGGGTCTCCCAGCTTCCCGTCGGAACCCAGACGTTGGGGGAGTGGGTGTGCGGCTCTTGCCTCTTCTCAGCCAAAGCCCAGAAGGAGGCTATCAGCTGGACTCCTGGACATTTCTTCCAACAAGGGCATCTTTCACGACTTTGCCTTCTGGGCCCCCTATTTTGAAACCAAACAAGAACCCAGATCGCTGCCAATCCGGACGGGCTCGGCATGAGCACGCGCTCTGTTCCCACGCAGCGGTGATGTCAGCCCAGAGCAAAGACAGGCACTTGACATTTCCAGGAGCCTGGGCGGCCTCCTCCAGGACAGAGGCTGAGTCTGGCAGCCAGCTTTGAGGAATAGTGACACCAGTTCACAGATTCCGCCCCTGCCCTTGAGACCCTCGGGCAGATCAGAGGACACCAGGCTGTGGGACGGTTGTTCAGTCTGCTACTTTCTTGCCTTTGTTCCTCCTAGGTCACACCGTGGGCCAGGGCAGGGACGGGCTGGGCCTCAGAGCCCCGGACTGTTTCCACACCTTCTGTGATCAAGCTCCCGTGCCTGTCACCTCAGCAAAGCCATCCTGTGGTCCAGACAGGGCTGAGCTCAAGAACCTTCCATAGCTCCCGCCTTCTGCTTCCCGGCACCTGCTGGGAATGTATGGAGTGTATGCTTTGTTCCTTCCTCTCCCCCAGCCCTGAGACACCCCCTCCCGGCCCCCTTCACCCTAGACTCACCTCCAGTCACCTCACGGGCAGAGTCTAAGAAGTGCCAGGTGAACGTGGAAGGATCGATGAATTGCCCAGGGAAGAGCTTCTGGAACTTTTCTACAGGAAACACCGTTATCTTAGAGAAAACTTCTCCCACCCCAGTACCCCCGGAGTTTTGGGGTTTCTAAGAAATTAGATGTCTCAATTTATTTTGAATCTCTAGGTAAATTCTGCAGTCAAATTCATAATATCAGGGGCGCCTGGGTGGCTTAGTCGGTTAAGCGTCCGACTTTTGCTTAGGTCATGATCTCGCGGTTCGTGGGTTCGAGCCCCGCGTCGGGCTCTGTGCTGACTGCCGGCTCAGAGCCTGGAGCCTGTTTCAATCTGTGACTCCCTCTCTCTCTGACCCTCCCCTGCTCACGCTGTCTCTCTCTCTCTCTCCTAGAAATAAATAAAACATTAAAAAAAAAAAATTCATAATATCAAAAAACCCCACTTTTTTTCAAAAATAGCATTTATAATTACTTATCAAGTAAATTGATGCTTCAGGAGGCGCACCACGTCAGTCCTATGCATTTGTGGACCGTGGCACAGCCTGAGGACCCCAGCAGCGGCCAGGCTGAGGGGCTCAGGTGGCCCTACTAAACCTCACCGATTGCTGAGTGCCTGGTGGGAAGTTTGCAAGGACTTGATTCCCCAGGGGGGCCCGCGTGCCCCCTGCACCCCAAGACGCCTTTGTGTCTGAAGGTTTACTGGATCCTGTCGTTTGCGCCCATTGTACAGATGAGGAAATAAAGTACAGATAGGTTAAGGGGTTTGGGCAGAGATCCTGGGAGACAGGTGTCTGCTCAGGTTCAGAAAGAGCTTCCCGATGGCATCCACGTTGGACGTTGTCGCATCAGCTGCCTGCAGGAGGTGAGGAGTGTGCCCTCCTCACGGGCGTGTGAGGAGAGGTTGCACCGGCCTGGCACCCCTTGGGCCGGGGGAGGGTGGAGCGGCAGACTCCGGCCTGGCCGCGTATCGGGGCCGGGGGGCAAGAGTGCTGCTTGTTCAAAGTACAGATTCCTCGGCCCCACCCTCGCCTCCCAAATCAGGACCTCCTGAGGGAGACCCATGAGCTTGGGACCCACCAAGACTGGGTGTTCTTGACCTGAGGCCGGGCAGACAGGCTTCTGCTGACATGCCGCCTCCATGTGACCTTTTGCGATTTGGTGCTTCTGGAAGTCCCACCTGTGTGCCCCTCGGTGACCTTGGACGAGGACCGTAAACTCTCTGACCCCAGTCTTTTCTTCAAATAGAGGTGCTTTTTGTTTGTTTGTTTTGTTTTGTTTTAGGAAAGTGCAAGCAGGGGAGGGGCGGGAGTGGGGGACAGTGGATTCAAAGCAGCCTCCCACTTCAGATCCTCTGTCCCTTCCTCTCTCTCGCTCTCTGCCCCTCCCCTGCTCACTCTCTCTCTCTCAGAATAAACTGAAAAACAAACCAAACAAAAAAACCGAAAACATTTTTTGAACCCAAAGTTAATTTTTCTTTTCTGATTGAAAAGAAAGTAAACTATTTCCGCGAGCCCCTAAAAGTGTGGTGGGACCGGCCGGGCTCAGCGGGGTGGCGTCCAGCTGAGTCCCAGTCCCAGCCTTCCTGAGCTTCCCGGCACCCCTGGGGGCTGAGACGCAGGAAGAAGGTGGGAGAGGGGCTCAAGAGGGGTAAAGCAGCCCCCGGGATGAAAGCAGAGGGTGTCCCGTCACGCGCTCTGCTCCTCACCTCCCGGCCTTCACCCCAGGCTGCATCTCCTTCCCTGGGGGCCCTTCCCTTTCTTCACTAGCGGCAAAGTGTGCAGGAGGTGAGGAGCAGGCAATCAGAAATGCCGCGACTCTTGCGCTGGAGGGGCTCACGGTGGCGGGAAGACAGACCAGCCCCCAGCTCCAGCCAGAGTGAGTCCTGAAACCCAGGCTGAGGGAGGCCCCTCCTGGTGCCTAGGTGCCGGGAAGCTTCTGAAAGCGGGGGCTGGAATATTTCTAAAGGACGCGGGCTTCTTGGGACCACCAGGCTAGTTTGGTCCCCAGCTTGGCTAAAGATGGCAGAGGGAACACGGGCACCAGTGTCCCTTCTCCTAAAACCCGAGGAAGACCAGAGAGGGATCTCTCTTCCCTTTTCCTTTTTCCCCCTAAGGTCTAGACACAGGACTGAGCAAGTGGGACACAGACCACAGCCGGTCAGGGCTGATGCTGGGAAGTGAGCGAGCGTAGAGGGGCTCAGAAGAGCCACATCCCCCGTGAGCTGGGGCAGGGGTGGCGAAGGGAGGGCTGAGCCGCACGTGAGGAGCCCCGCGCAGCCAGGAGGGGTGCAGCCCCGCATGGGGGCCTTGGGTGGGGGCAGAAGGAGGAGGCAGACACCCAGATCCCCTGCTGGAAGGTGAGTGCCAGGCGGTCACCCACCCCAACCCCAGCAGAGGCCGGGAGCTCTGTCTGGTGACAGTAAACCAGGTGTCCCCGGCCTGGGGACGGGGCATCATTCTGAAAACAGGGAGCCAAGTGCCGGGGACTTCTGAGTGCCGGGGCCCCTGCCCTGTCCCCTGCCCTACCCCTGGCGGCAGCCAGGCCTTTACCCTCCAGGCAGAGTGCTGAAGGGTCCTCTCTGGAGAGTCAGAGCCTCCCAAGAGTGAACTCCTAGAAATACTGACATGAGGGGGGCAGTAAGTGCTCCCCAAACTCCCATCAGTGTCTATTCTAACACAGCCTGCGGGACCAGGTGCTCCTTTGACAGTGTGTGTCTAGAATTCTGAGAAATCGGTGAGGCCAATGTTAAGACAAGAAAAACCAGGGGTGCCTGGGCGGCTCAGTCAGTTAAGCATCCGACTTTGGCTCAGGTCATGATCTCGTGGTTCTTGGGTTCGAGCCCCTCATCGGGCTCTGTGCTGACAGCTAGCTCAGAGCCTGGAGGCTGCTTCCGATGCTGCGTCCCCCCCCTCTCTCTGCGCCTCCCCTGCTCGTGCTCTCTCTTTCTCTCTCTCAACAATAAATAAATAAATGCTAAAAAAAAAAACTGGAAAGGGATCTTCTTGATCTCCCATTAAAAAAAATAATAATAAAAATAAATAAAAAAACAAGAAGAACCAGCCACTACCATGTGACTCAGCAATTCCAATTCCAGGAAATGAAAACAATACAGCCGCTCAGAAAGTATACACAAATGTCACGGCAGCGTTACTCAAGCAGCCGAGCAGACGTGGGCAGATGATAGCACACACACCGGGCAGCACACCCACACACAGGATGGTATTCATCCATAAAGAGAACGGGTCCTGACACCCACTAGGATGCAGATGAGCCCGGGGGACATTCTGCTCAGTGAGAGAAGGCAGACCTAAAAGGTCACATATTGTATTATTCCATTAAATGAGATGTCCAGAGTAGGCAAATCCGTAGAGACAGGAAGCAGACTGGTGGTTGCCAGGGCTGGGGGAGGGGAGAATGGCGAGTGATTACTTAATGGGCGCGTTTTTCTGGGGTGTTGAGAAGTCGAAATCTAGGCAGAGGTGGGGGTGGCCCAACACTGTGACCGCGCTCAGTGCCGCTTGGAACTGTACGCTTTAAAAAGGTTTGGGGTGCCCGGGTGGCTCAGTCAGTTGAGTGTCCGACTTCGGCTCAGGTCACGATCTCGTGGTTCGTGAGTTCGAGCTCGGGATCAGGCTCTGTGCTGACGGCTCGGAGCCTGGAGCCTGCTTCGGATTCTGTGTCTCCCACTCTCTCTGCCCCTCCCCCGCTCACGCTGTGTCTCTCTCTCAAAAATAAATAAACATTAAAAATAATAAAATGCTTAATTGTATGTTATGTGAACTTCACCTCAATTAAAAATAAATAAGAGAGCCACCTCTAGGCAGCTCCTTTCGGCTGGGAAAGCACCTGGATTAATCTGCTAGGTTAAACATCCAGCAGGAAGACAATGCGAGCCACACCTGCCCCCTTAGATTCTCCAGGGAGTCACATTCTAAAAAGTGAAACAAAACAAGTGTCGTTTTAATGCTGTAGTTTCTTGAATCCAGGAGAGCCCAAACATTATCATTTCAACATGTAATCAACATAGATGTTACTAACAAGATCTCTCCTCTATAGTTAGTCTTTGAAATACCGGTGTCTTTTGGGGCGCCTGGGTAGCTCAGTCGGTGAGGCATCCAACTCTTGATCTTGGCTGAGGTGATGATCTTGATTCATGATTTGCGCCCCACATTGGGCTCCACACTGTTAGTGAAGAGCCTGCTTGGATTCTCTCTCTCTCCCCCCGTCTCTCTCCCCTTCCCTGCTCACATGCTCCCTCTCTCTTTCTCAAAATAAATAAACTTAAAAGAAAAGAAAGAAAGAAAGAAAGAAAGAAAGAAAGAAAGAAAGAAAGAAAGAAAGAAAGAAAGAAAGAAATACACGTGTATTTCAGCACACAGACCATCTAAATGCAGCCAGCGGGGTTCCAGAGCTCTGTAGCCACTCGAGCTCACCCCACTTGACACAGGGGCAGCTGTGTCCCTGGAGCTTCAGGACATAATCTTGCAAAGTATGAGGGTTTAAAATTTAGTGGGTGTTGAATCTGTGAATTAAAAATAAACTGGCCATAATCCTATTTAGGATGCACTTGAACAATAACCTTAGAATTAATTCCTAGGTTAAACATACTATTAGTGTGGTCCAGCATTTCCGTGCCCGGTTACACACCTGAAAGAAGCTAGAACAACAGCTAGAACAGAGACTCATCAACTAACGTGTATAGCAGCATTATCCACAGTAGCAAAAAAGTGAAAACAGCCTCGGATGTCTGTGGATGGATGAATGAATGAATGAATGAATGAATGGAACAGCAAAATGTGGCGTGCACATACAATAGGGTATTATTCAGCCTTTAAAAAGGAAGGAAATTCTGGGGCACCCGACTGTCTCTGTCGGTAGAGCATGCAACTCTTGATCTTGGAGTCGGAGTCGTGGGTTTGAGCCCCATGTTGGGGATTGAGCTTACTTGGAAAAAAAAAAAAAACACAAAAAACAAAAACAAGGAAATTCTGACTCCTGCTACAAGGTGCATGAACCTTGAGGACGTTATAGCGAACGAGCCCATCACAGAAGGACAAATACTGCATGGTTCTCTCCTGTGGAGCGCCTGGAGCTGGAGTAGCCAAGTTCATAGGGGGTTGCGGGGGTGGCGGGGGGGGGGGGGGGGGGGGGGGGGGGGGGGGGGGGGGGGGGGGGGGGGGGGGGGGGCGGAGTTAGCGCCTAATGAGGACTGGGTTGTAAAAGGGAAGATGAGCAAGTTCAGGGGACTGGACAGTGGTGATGATTGCATAACCACGTGAATGCACTTGATGCCACCGGGCAGTATACGTAAAAATGGTTAAAATGGTAAATTTTAAGTTGTGCGTATTTTACCACAGTGAAACCAAAGAAATCCTGGGGCGCCTGGGTGGCTTAGTTGGTCGAGCGTCCAACTTCGGCTTGGGTTATGATCTCATGATAAGGGAGTTCAGACCCCACAATGGGCTCACCGCTGTCAGCACAAAGCCTGCTTCGGGTCCTCTGTCCGCTCCCAACACCCCTGCCCCTCACCCACTCGTGCTCTCTCTCAAAAATAAACATTAAAAAAACAAAAAGAATTGTAAAACAAATAAATCCTGTCCCCCATCCCATGTGTTTGAGTTTGCACTGACCTTGACACTATAGTCACTGGTGGCCTCTGAGGAACGAGGCAGGGGGAGGGCGCCGAGCGGAGGCGTGGGTGGACACAGCAAGAGAGGCTTACACCCGGCTCTGTGTCTCTGAATAATAAAGAAACACTCTAATAAAAGTGATGGAAGACACCTCCAGGACCCACGAGAAATACTTTCCTTAAAAGAGCGTTCATGCATTGCCTGGTTTGGAAGTCATGCTGTGATTTGGTTTCTAGGCTTATGTCCCATGAGGCATGGCCGTCTCTGCATCCCCGTGGCGCCAGCGCCTGGGGCCAGTCTTGGAACAGTTTCCTGAGTGAGTGAGTGAGTGAGTGAGTGAGTGAGTGAGTGAATGCAGGCATAGAGGAAGGAGGAATTCGTGGGCAGGAGGAGACAAGAAGCTAGAGAATCAGGGAAGGCTTCCAGGAGGAGGGGGTCAAGGGTATGGGGTTTGAGGAGTGGACGGTCAGGTGGAGACGGACACACCTCGGGGCTAAGCACCAACCCCCTGCCCAGAGGATGTTGAGGGGGATGAGACGAGGCGCCAGCTCTGCCCAGCGGTGATGTCACACCTGGGACCCAGCCTGGGCCCAGCCATGGGGAGCGGTCTGCCAAGGGGCCAGCCTTCCCCATCAAACCCCCAGCTGAGCAGTCAGCCCCCATCACCCTCCTCCTCCCCGACACCCGGACAGCATCACTTCCTCCGCCAGCCCCACCTCACCTGGCCGGGCCACCATCACCTCTCTCGGTGTAGACCTCTGCCCACCCTCCCGCAGTCCTACCCCACAGCTGCTCATTCAGTGAATAGCATTGCGTGCCTGATTAGGATCGCACAGATGAGGAAAAACCTTTGGCCCTGCCTGGTGGGGAGTTAGACAATAAACAAGGAAATGGTAAGTGTATCATATGACAGCAAGCAGCAAGCGCCAGGAGGAAAACAAAAGAAATAGGCAGGAGGGGTCCTTGTGACACCTTCTCTGGGCTCTCAGATAAGTCCTGGCTCCAAGCGCCTCTGGGGAAGGTTGCCCTGTTCACGACTGCTGTGAGCGGTGTACCTCGTCTGGCCGCCCCGCGGTCCCAATGAAAGGAAAGCCATGTTCAGTGTGGCCTCAGGGAAAGGGAGCCTTAGGTTGGGCAGCTTGCCCAAGGTCACAAAGCTTAGGGATGTGCTCCCGAGGCCTGGCCTCACCAGGCCTCAGTCCCTACTTGGCCCTCACAGGACATGACGTGGCTGTGAGATCTCAGGCAGGATGTAGTCTAGTTCCGAGCCTTAGCTTCTCCTCCTGTAGGATGGGCTCAAGGTTATGGGAGAGAACACCGCAGAGATCGGCGGGGCCAGAACCCCCCTGCGCAGCTGGAACGGGGCCGCCCAGGGCTGGGGAAGTGAATGTCGTCCTGGCCCCATTTAGAAGCAGCCCAAATGCTGATTCCGGAGCCTGAGACCCAGAATCTCACAGTTGTTTACAAACACAAAGGTAAGACGCCTGGCTGATGCCCTGCTCTCAGCACATCTCCCTGGGGGCCAGGAACCCAGATGACAGACCCCTTCAGGATCTGCCATGTTGATGAAGTTTTGGGTGATGGTGGAGTGGTCCGGAGCTGACCGCCAAGACATAATTCTTGAAGATGCCTTTGGTGCAAATAGGTGATTTTATCAAGGCACAGGGACGGGACCCATGGGCAGGAAGAGCTGCCCTGGGGTCCTGACGGCTAACTCATTACACACCCTCACTTGGGAAGGGGTCTCGGATAGAGCATGTCTCTAAGGTATTTTGGGAGCAAGGTTTCCAGGACCTTGAGAGGCTCGCGGTTGCTAAGGGAACACCATTTATTACCATTGAATAAAACCTCAGTCATGAGAGCCTTCAGATGCACATCCGGGCCATAAACTTGGAGCCGGATTGCCTGCACATGTCCTGGGGCAGCTGAGATAAAGGAATTAGACTTACAGGGTCCTAGAGGTTTGGGGCAATGTTAAGCTAAGATTCTCTTCTGCCCCCAGCAAAGTGTCATCATCGAGGCAGCTGAGCTCCTAGAGGGAGGTCACTCCTGGGTTCAAGGACTTGGCAATGGGCTGTAGGCGGTAAGGGGATTTACTTCTTCATTTGCCTTAGTTTCCCACATCACCATGCAAGCACTTTAAACCCCTTTCCTTTGTGCTTGGGGGGCCAGGAATGTCCAAGGAATATCACACAGATCCCACCTGGTGGGGAGGGGGCTGTTAGCCTGTACTTTGCCCTCGGCTTGCCCCACGCTCCTTCATCATACCCCCCACCAACAGTTTTGACCTTTAAGTCCTTCAAGTTGCTGAAGGTGGAGGGTCTCATCTTCTGTAGCTTCTTCCTGCTGGGTAGGGGCATAGTGACGTCCCTTCCTGTATGAGTCAATATGGGTCAGTCAGGGAACATGGAGAGGAGTTACAAAAACATACAGGCAGCTGAATCCAACATGGGCAACATGTATGGACCTCCTCGAGTGGAAAGGATCGTCTGTTGGCTGGAAGTCATTGCAATGATGGAGTCTTGGGACCAGGCAGAGAGAGACATGGGAGAAAACAGCAAAACATAGTTAGAATAACTAGAAAGATTAGCCCAAATGGAAGTCTTTTGGTAGGTGACAAAAATCCTCCGGTCTGGGAGTTTAACCAATCATTAAAGGAAAGAGAGGGATTGTTTGAAGTGCCAACTGGAGTCAGTTATCCAATTTCTGGATTTCATGTCAGTTAGAAATCCAGAAGTATTTTTGCAGTAATCTGGGATGTACATACAGCATTTTGTTTGTTTTGTTTTTAATTTTTTTAAGTTTATTTATTTATTTTGAGAGCAACAGAAAGAGCATGAGTAGAGGAGGGGCAGAGAGAGAGGGAGAGGGAGAGGGAGAGAGACAATCCACGCCGTCAGTGCAGAGCCCGATGTGGGGCGCGAACTCACGAAACCTTGAGGTCATGACCTCAACCAAAACCGAGAGTCGGGTGCTTAACCAACTCTGCCACCCAGGTGCCCCCAGTATTTGGTTTTTATGAGTGTATACATGCCACCTTGTGTAGCAGCCAAAACATCTAATGCCATTCTATTTTGTAGAACTATGCTATGCATTTGAGTTACTTTAGCATTTAATAATACAATGTTGAGAGTCATTTAAGCCCTTAACTGGGTAACAGGTGGTGCTAGCCATCCTGTACACCCTGTTTTGTTTAGTAAGCAATCAGGTCATTAAGAGGTACTTTTACAGAAACAAGAAAAATATAGGCTAATGGTTACAGCAGATTACAAACCCATTGTCTACCAGTGCTGCCAGTGAGATGCTAAATGTCAGGCTTGAAGCCTCCTCAGATGGGGGTGGGAACAGACAGAAGGAATCCGACTGATCTTTCTGGTCTGTTACTCAAATGTCTGTGGTGACCCTTTTGGACGGCCCATTGTAAGAAGGAATTGTTAGTAGGAATTGGGAAAGGAGAAGGAGCAAGAAATGTACAACCATGATAAGAGAAATTTAAGGTCTTTCACAGGTACCCGGGAATGAGAAGGCACGTTAGTTTGCTCATGGATTTCCTGTAAAGGGGGTACAGGTTTTATTTTAGATACAGGAGCCCGTGAAGTGTGCTCCTCTAACTTTACTGCATAATATGACCCAGTGGGGGCCCTTTTATTTTGGAGTTAAATCCCCTGTTGTCTTAGACTTTCCATCCTTTGAATAAACCAGATCTCCTGGGTTTATATGGGGGTGGGTTTCTAGTAACTTTCAGATCCGGTTTAGGGAGGATATGGTTGGTATATTTAGAGATGCATGAATTAACCAGCCCTCAAGTGAATAATAAAGACAATAGTGTTGATCTACTGATAAGTCTACGGTGAGAAAAGTCTTTGCCTACAGTCATTGGGGAATGCATCCCATTTTCCAGTTGTTTAAATAATCACATTCCCCTGGCGTCTTATTATTATCCCCAAAGAATAACAAGCACAGATTGTCTACACATGAAATAATGTGACAATTTTTCTGAAGGTTACCTCGAGTTGTCTAGTTTAGGCAAATAATAAACATTTAAAGACAATCAGACTAGAATTTAACATCCATACGGTGCATTATTGAAACATGGTTTTTTTCTCTAAAAACCTTCATTTCCAGAGATGGCCAGATTGAGACCAATCCATGTGTAGAACAAGTCCAGTCTTAGCAAAACCGGCCCGATTATTCACATGACCTCGGCGAGAATAGTAATTGATCATGAGGATCTTTGAAAGTTTGCTTTGCCGGAACCTTTTATGAGGAATCTTCAGACTTAACTTTTGTAGCCTTTCCAGGCCGGAAGGCAAGCCAAATACTTCCCGTCAGACAGGCCTGCAATACCTGTGGAATCGGACGAATTCTCTTCACGAGGTCCCCAAGATGTCCTGAGGTTTCTGCACCTGCCAGAAAGTGACCTTATTTGCCTCCTGCTGGGAACTCTGTAAGCAGGTCTCCGGCCAACATTTCCGAGGGCCTTTATGGCTCCCTGTTTCAGAAAGTCAACCTCAGTTCCTTAAAGCTGTCTGGTCATTTCTGAGTCTGTGCATGTCACTCTCAAATATGGCATTCCAATCAAAGCCTGGGTAAAATAACCAGCATTTCCAATGGTGTCCTGTTACAAGGTGAACGGATTCTCATTGACCTTATGCAAACAACTGTAATTGCCATGAAAGAAAGAATACTCACTGGGAGTTTTTGAATTTCAGAGGGTTTAGGTAGGGAGAAAAGATAAATGCTTCAGTTCACAGCTGAGCACTTTATGACACTTCTGTATATCATAGATATCTTAAGAAAAGTTTCCTTAATCTGGAAGAGCAAACATCAGAGAGCCAGCAATATTTCCAACAAGAGTCACAAAACTATAATCTTCCTCAGTTCATTTAATCTCATGTTCCTATTTCTTGTTCCGTTTGAATGCAGCTTTTTGGTTCTGGAAATTCTTACCCATTTTAGTGTTCATCTTTAAGATGTCACATACCTGTATTTGTTTCAAAAGTCCTTCTTATAAGTCTCCTTGAAGAAGAAACACGTTTCATGAGGGAATGAGAACAATGATAAAGGACAACATCTCAGAAATGGACATTGTTAAAGATCTGATGAGAGTTCATGATGATGCAATTGACAAGGAAATTCGGTTATTTCTGTGGCACATAGCACTTCAAGTAATCAGAATATTGAGTGATGACCTTATACCAAAATATTAAAACTTAGGAATTGCATATATATTTGGGCAGTTATAGCATTTAACCTGTGCAATACAACCTAAGGTTTACCATTGTGTGACTGTGCTTTTCCAAGTAACTTAGCATACCAGACAAACGGATCTAATTGGTCAAAAAGATTTGATTTACCATAAAATCCTAGGAAGTTTCTTAAAACCATAGAAAGTTAGAAAGTACATCCTAAATAGGCTTACTGATCATTACAAATCTTAAAAGTTTAGTCAACCATGATGGCAATAAAAGATCCTAAAGGCGAATGTATAGTACCATATAGTTGTTAGCAAAACCTAGCTCTACATTGAGAAGTTTTAACTAAGTGATCAAAGACCTGATAAAGACAAAACCTAAAGCTTTGGCTTTCCTGGCAGACAAAAGAGAAAAAAAACCTCTGTTTGTAAACTTTGTTTACATTTTCTTATCAAGAGCAGATCAACAGTCCAAGAAAACTTTGTCTTTTGAACAGAGAGAAAAGCAGAATTTCGACCTTATACCAGTGTACTTTTAAAATTCCATTCATCTCGGGGCCCCGGGGTGGCTTAGTCTGTTAAGCGTCCGACTTTCGCTTAGGTCATGATCTCGCGGTTCGTGGGTTCGAGCCCCACGTCGGGCTCTGTGCTGACCGCCAGCTCAGAGCCTGGAGCCTATTTCAGAGCCTGTATCTCCCTCTCTCTCTGACCCTCCCTTGCTCACGCTGTCTGTCTCTCTCTCTCTCTCTCTCTCCTATAAATAAATAAATTTAAAAAATTTTTTAAAAATAAATAAAAAAATAAAATTCCATTCATCTCAACCTTAGTCCATCCTGAGCATACATAAAATTCCTTTCCAAAGCTTTCCCTTCATGAACCATCCACGACTTTCCTTTGCCTTCAAACGTTGTCCCAAAGCCATTTGTCTCCAAACAACCAGTCTCATTTAGGACAAAATTACTTTCTTTTACCCTCAGCAAAAAAATGCATTTCCATCCCTTATATCCTTCTTAGGTATGCATCTCCCACTTTCCTACATACAGGGTCGCCTTCCTGATTTCCATCAATCTTAGCAGAGTTTTAACTCTCAGGAAACCTTAGTCTCCAATTGAGGACTTAGTGCCCAGTTGAGAGGTGTTCACACAAGAATTTTTTAGATGGTAAATTCATGAACCAATTAAGCACAAAGCATGTTTTCCAATAGATCCAAATAGCCTTAGTTTCTCTGCAATAAGAAGTTGAAAACAAACCTATGTTCAGTAATCAAAGCTTTAGCACTCTATTTAGAAAAGACCTAGAAGTCCAATGAAGTTAATCTCACTTATGCAATCAAAACTTTAAAGTTTCAGGTTACCAAAGACTTTGAAAGCTATCTTAACAATTACCCATGAAAACTTTGAGAGGGACAATATTAACTCATTTTAAGTAATCTTTTAGCTAACAAATTGCAAGAGATAACATGAGCTTATCTGACCTTTAGTCATCCTTGGTAGAATGAAAGTTTCAAATTTACTGCTGATAACTTTAAAGACCAGGTCCAACAAACTTAAATCCGTTTAAACACCAAATATGTTTCACCTGCGTCCACTTAAAAGTCAATCAATTTTTGGGGCGCCTGGGTGGCTTAGTCGGTTGAGCGTCCGACTTTCACTTAGGTCATGATCTCGCGGTTCGTGGGTTCAGGCCCCGCGTCGGGCTCTGTGCTGACTGCCAGCTCGGAGCCTGGAGCCTGTTTCAGTCTGTGACTCCCTCTCTCTCTCTGACCCTCCCCTGCTCATGCTGTCTCTCTCTCTCTCCTAGAAATAAATAAAAAAACATTTAAAAAAAAAAAAAGTCAATCAATTTTTCCCCATTGTCAAAAAAAAAAAATTCCCCATTGTCAGTTTTCACCTGAGACACCAGTGAAGGTATCTGAAGTGGGTGGTCCAAGGGGGTAAGGGGGTGCACTTTGCTCCTTGACCTCGAGGGTGAGAGGAGGAGCCAATGGTGCCTGAGGCACTGAGGATGGTATAGGAACCAGAGGTACAGATCACACCCAAGTTGGTGCAGAAACGGGAGGGGGAGGGGAAGGCAGAAGAGGCGAGGTACCAGCAGAAGGCAGAGAAGGAAAAGCCGATTCAAAACCTTAGCTCAGACAGAGGAGCAGGCGCCATGTTTTTTTCCACCAAAGTGGAACTATGGAGTCCACATCAGGCCAGAGAAGACTGGAAATTTCCCCAAAACAAATGGAATTTCAGCAGCTGCTCGGGCATATTCCTTAAAGTCCCCGTCCCAAGGTAGACTAACCACAGTTGGCTCCAATTATAGCTGTTAACCCCAGGAAATGAATGAGGAAGAAGCTCTCACATCTATTAGGCAGAAGAACAGAGAGAGAGAGAGTCAGCGTCCTCTTTTGTTAGGGATGTTCTGTTTCCTCCAGCAACCTGGGTTCTATTAGAAGGAGGCCCACTTACCATCCAATGTATCAGGTGGAGTTGACAGGCATGGTTACTGACCAAATATGTTCTGCAAGAGGCCCTGGGATCTGGGTAGCCCTGAAGGCCTGGCCCTAGCGTACCTCCATGCTTTTTCTCTGTTGACTAAGGCCATGCAGTGTTATAGATCAGTCTTTTCTACATACAGCAAGCCAAATTGTTTCCAGTGGGTTAAAAAGGCATCCCAAGGGAGAGTCCTTGGGGACCCCAAAGAAGCTCTCATGCTCCTTCTATAGAGAGAAAAGGAGAGAGAGAGAAAGCCCATTACCTCCTGAGAATCCCCTCTGATGTGGGGCCCACATGCAGGGTACGATCGAGGTTCCTGGCGTTAAAGTGACCCAAGGCATCTCTCGAACGAAATTGCTATGACCAGCCGACTAAGGGCTTCTGAAAGAGGGAAGCTAGCGTCCCCCCACTTCCCCATTGCATTCTAGACTACAGGTGGGTGCCTGGCATATGGACCAAAATGCCTTGAAAGCCGTGCCCTAAAAGGCTGTGCCTTGAAGAACATTCCCTGGTCGTCATGCCCTGATTACCTAGTCTTTGAGGAGCACTCAGCGGAAGCCATGCTTTAGTTTCTTGAATAACCTGTCATTAAAAAAAATTTTTTTTTAATGTTCATTTATTTTTGAGAGAGAGAGAGAGACAGAGCGTGAGTGGGAGAGGGGCAGAGAGAGAATCCGAAGCAGGATCCAGGCTCCCAGATGTCAGCACAGAGCCCGATGCGGGGATTGAACTCACGAACCATTAAGATTGTGACCTGAGCCAAAGTTGGAAGCTCAGTCGACTGAGCCACCCAGCTGCCCCTAACCTGTCATTTTTAACCTATGGAAAGCACTAGAAACGTTTTACAAGGGGGAATTACCTAATTTTAAGTAGTAGTTAGCAGAGGACATTGACAAAGCAGTAAAGACAGAAATCCATCATGATGTGAGTGACATTCCAACACATGTAGGCTTTATAGACAACTTCCCTAGGAAACGGTCCCCGGTTGGGTGTCAGTTCAATCGGGTATCAGTTTCCTCCAGCTCTCAGTGGAGGCTCCTGGCCAGAGGCAGCTAGACCAGAGATGTGGAGGGGATCACGTTAGACCAATGAGTTGGAAACCTCACAGGGGAGTCAAGATTGGCAGCCATCCTGGTGACTTAGGTGGGTGTCCCACACCCAAGACAGACAACTTTGTACAGGATAGGAATAAAGAGAGGGCATCAAGTATCTGGGTCTGATTACCATCCTGGCCAGGATACTAACTTCCCGCCAAAAGGTAGGCTTTCTCCTCCCCAAAGAGTAAGTTAGAGGATTACAACCTGAGCAATTGATGTGAAAGTGGTCCGATAAGCCCGTACTCCTCGAAGGGCCCCTGAAATAAGAGTAAAGGAGGAAAAGAGAGAGTATATTCACCATATGTGCACGGAAGCTGAGAGTCTAGATGAAAAGACTCATAGTCCCACAAATTGGGTGCCATATGATGAAGGTTTGGGGTCAAGGTCGGGGGCAGCGGGGATGGAGGAGGGGGAGTGGTGCATTCAGAGCTGACGGCAAAGAAAGAATTCTTGAAGAAGCCTTTGGTGCAAAAAGATGATTTTATCAAGGCACAGGGACGGGACCCATGGGCACGAAGAGGTGCTCTGGGGTTCTGATGGCTAACTCATTACACACCCTCGGGTTGGGAAGGGGTCTCGGATAGAGTATGTCTCTAAGGTATTTTGGAAGCAAGGTTTCCAATACTTGAGGGGCTCGCTGTTGCTAAGGAAACACCGTTTATTACCATTGAATAAAACCTCAGTCATGAGAGCCTTCAGATGCACATCCGGGCCATAAACTTGGAGCCGGATTGCCTGCACATGTCCTGGGGCAGCTGAGATAAAGGAATTAGACTTACAGGGTCCTAGAGGTTTGGGGCAATGTTAAGCTAAGATTCTCTTCTGCCCCCAGCAAAGTGTCATCATCGAGGCAGCTGAGCTCCTAGAGGGAGGTCACTCCTGGGTTCAAGGACTTAGCAACGAGCTGTAGGCAGTAAGGGGATTTACTTCTTCATTTGCCTTAGTTTCCCACATTTGCCTTAAACCCTTTCCTTTGTTCTTGGGTCACTGGGAGAGTCCGGGACTGTCACATAGATCCCACCTGGCAGGGAGAGAGCTGTTAGCCTATACTTTGCCCTCGGTTTGCCCCACGCTACCTCATCACTGTGACCGTCGGTGCCGCATCTGCCTGTAGAGCTGGAGGCAGAGGGAACAGACAAGGCTGGTTCCATTGCTCACAGAAACTCCCTGCTCTGGGCTGGGTGCCGGAGGGAACAGGGTAGGAAAGCAAGAGACCTGAAGTTCCACGGCTGGCTCCATTTTGCCAGCTCTGGGTCTTCTAAACCTCTCTGTGCCTCAGTTTCCACACCTATAAAGTAGAGGCGGTCCCTCCCCAAAGGGCAGGAAGAGCAGATCATGGTAGGCAAACCGCTCCTGGGCATGAGTATTTTTAAGTTAGCGATCATCTTGGTGGCAGAGGAGCTGTGGCCACTAGAAATAGCATGTGGGGGGGGCGCACCTCAAATTCCTCTTTAAACTCCAGAGGAGCCATTTCCTGTGAGTCACTGATCACGCGGTCAGGAAGCAGCCTTGGGGGGTGGGTTGCAGCTGGAGGGGCTTCTAGGCTCTGCTCCATCTCTTTCCCACTGTGTGGCCTGAGCAGGTCACTCCCCATCTCTGGGCCTCTGCTTCCTCTTTGGGGTCTGGTTGTGAAGATAGCTCAGGGACCGGGCCCCCTAGGGGCTCGCCCGAGGACCCAGTTGCTTTGAACCACCCGTCCCCCTGGGGAGAGTCACATAATCTGCTAAGGCAGCCCTGGCACCCACCCAGGCCCCTTCCTGTGCCGAGATGACCGACAAGATAAAGGCACTGCCAAAGGCACATGGGGACAAGATTTCCAGAAGACATCAAGCAGTGAGCAGTGGGTGTGTCCAGGCCAACAGGAAGGAGGGAGGGGTGGGGGAGGGGGAGAACAAAGCCGGGGCTGGCAGGTTGATGTGGACGCCAAGCCGACTTGCTTGGTCTAGAGGGCGGCTTAAGATGATGCATCCCTTCCTGGGGCGTCAGGCTAGCTTAGTCAGGAGAGCCTGCGACTCTTGATCACGGGGGTCATGAGTTCGAGCCCCATGCTGGGCACAGAGCTTACTTAAAAACAAAAACATCCCTTTCTTAAGATCATCCCACCCTGCACAAGCCCTTCTTGTGTAGAAATTTGGTCCCACAGTCTCTCGGGAGTAGCTGCACACACCCCCGCCCCCACTTTCTGGCAGTTTCTCCAACAGAAGAGCCGAAAACAGGCCAGTGGGGCAAGGGGGAGGTGCCTCTTAAGTGGGGGGAACTGGGGGCTGGGTGCCACTCTGCTCTGGGCTGGTGGGTTCCCACTACCCCGGGTTCTATGGACTTCCTGATCCTGTCCACACCCTCCCCAGTGAGCCCAGTGGGGGACAGGTGGGCAGCGGGGATCTGGTGGCACTGGCAGAAGTATGACACCGGATGGCCTTGGGCGACCCCTGCAATTAACCTCTTAGCCTCGGCTGGTGGCCACTCACTCATCTGTAGCTGTCCCAGGGCAGGAAAGGACCAAGGTGGAGGCGGGTGGGGAGGAAGACAGATGTGGAGCCACCATGTCCAGGGTGAGTCACAAGCTCTGTGATCTTGGGGAAGTCACTTTGTCTCTGGGCCTCAACCTTCTCCTCTGTCAGTTGGGGCCACGGCACCTGCTAGATGGTTGGAGGTTCAGAATTATATCGTTCATGTGTAGACATGGTGTTCGTGAAGCTCCTGCAGCGACAGCCCTTGATAGAACCCTGGTGTCTACAAACCCCTGGAGATTTGGGCCAGGTGGGGAGGGAGGGGACTGCTTGATTCAGTCCTGGAGCCCTGTTCAACTCAAAAGACCCAAACTCCTGGGGCCTGATGACTTCCCTGAGATGGGGGATAAGAATGACCCTCTGCCGCACTCCATCCACCTCATCAGGTGGGGTGGGAAGCAGTTGGACCAGCCACAGTGAGTCAGGAAGAGGCCAACATTCTGTGGGGCAGGGGCGCTGGCCCAGGTCGCGTTTCTCAGGCACAACCTCCAGGCCAGTCCGTGTTCCCTTCACCGCAGTCACTCACTCTGCGTCCTCACCCCAAGCCACGTGGGTCCTGTCGGTAACCCTGTCTGGAGAAGTAACCAAGTCCCGGGGTGAGGTGGTGTTACTTACCCAGATCAGCGGTGAAGGTGAGACTTGAACCTGGTCTGTCACATTGCTGTGATCCTAAGACTTGAGAAACAAGACTTCAGGACTTGAAGTGTATCAGTTATCTAATGCCGAATAACAAACACACCCCAGGCATAGTGCCCCCGAGCAATCACCAGGCTTGGGTTTGCTCATGTTTCTGCAGTTTGGGCAGGGCTGGGCAGGGACCCCTTGTCCCTACTGCATGCACTGTCATATGGGGCCCCCGGCCAGCCTCCCTCACGTGTCTGGGGCCGCAGCAGCCAGGGACAGGCTGGGCCTCTCTCTTCCCTTCATGGTTTCTAAGGATCCTCCCTCCATGTGGCCTTTCTCTAGTGGGGTCCTCTATTCCCTTCCATGGCCTCTGGCTTTGAAGCTGGGGGAAATGGATGTTGTAAAGCCTCTTAAGGCCTAGGCCTGAAATCTCTCAGTCACTTCCAAGTCATCCTAGTGATCAGAGTCACACACAGGCCACCCAGACCCTGGGGAGGCGAGATCGTGGACTGTGTGGCAGAGACACAGCTATGGGAGGGATTGTTGGCGGCCATTTTGGGCAGCCTTGGTGGCAGCCATCTTGGGCAGCCATTTTTCTGCCCAAGGATCCTGTCCTTAGAGTGGGCCAATGCCTGCTGACAGACTCCTGTGTGACAAGAGCGGGAGAGTTGATGGTGACCCGCGGGAATGCGGAGGAGGGAGGGCCCAGGACGCGCCGCAGTGGGACGGGAAGGCCTGTCTCCTCAGGCCTCTAGGCCTTTCCTCCCTGGGCCCAGTTGCCCTTCTCCCCAGCCCACGAGGGGTAAGGAGGCTGAGCCTCAGTTGGGAATCAGGTCGGGCCTGCTCATCCTGTTGGTGACAACCCTCTAAGGGCCCTCTTGGCTTTGCAGAGAAAATGCTGTGGCCCTTGCCCTCCGTCTGCCCTGCCCTGCCCTGGACCTCCCTGATGGGGAGAAACTTCTTCCCAGCAGCTCCACTCCAGCCCCACCCCAGCCTCACAAGTTCCGAAAAAATGTTGGCTCCAGATAATGGCATACCCTGGTTGGTGGGGAGGAGATCATGCGAATCCTTCCCGCACCTCTGCTCTCCGAGGACTCAGGAACTGCACAGTGGCCACCCAGCCCAGGCTCTGGAGTTCAACTCTTGCCCTGCCAGTCTTTAGCTGTGTGATCTTGGAGGTTTACTTCTCTGTGCCTCAGTTTCCTCATCTGAAAAAAGAAGAAAAGAGAAGGGCAAATGTGACCACTCTATGCAAGCCCTGTTCTAAGCGCTTTACGTCGAGCAGCATATATAATCCTCCCAACAACACAGGCCAGTGTGGTGTGTGTGTGTGTGTGTGTGTGTGTGTGTGTGTGATTCATTTCACTCTTACAGCTAAGGAGTTGAAGGCACAGAGAGGTCAAGTAACTTGCTTGAGGTCACACGGTTAATCACCATTCCAGAGCCCTTGC